CTTTTCCGCCTTACTGTGGGTGCAAAAGGAGAGTCACTATTGGTATTAGTGCAATACTCAGAGGGTGCCTCTGGGGAGTGGATGTAGGTCTGGTTTTAGACCGAACCACTATAAATCTGGTGTCATTTACTTTACTGTTTTTACATTTCCGCATTTTAATTTTCAGTTTTAAAAACTCTGTGGTTGAAAAACATTTTCTAGAAAAACTTAAAAGAAAAATTTTCATTTCGGTTAAACTTAAATTCAAAGGGGAATTAAATTTTTTAAAGTACCAATTCACCCCCCCTCTTGGTTGCCTTGGGACATTCACTTAGGCTTAACAACCTAATTACAAGACTCAACAAAAACCGCCGGGTTTGAAGAGAAGGCAGTTTTAGGGGTGAACCGAACCGGCCATCAGACCGGTTCACGGTTGAACCAGTCGGACCGGTCGGTCCGGTTTTTAAAGCATTGCTAGAGAGTGATAGTTATAAAAGATGTATCTATATATTTTAAAATTTAAAATATTTATGATATCAATAAGGTTGTGAACATCAGACCGGACAAAGAATTTAAAGAAACATAGGTTCATGGTTTGATTGTGGTTAAACTGTATGATGTAATAAATATTAATTTTATTTAAACATAACATATTTTATTTATATTAATGCAATAGATAAAAAATGTAACTAAAAGTATTAAAAAATCAGCGGCTCAAATTTGCAGTTTTTCTGATGGCGTGGTTTTTAAGAATCGATGCTGGTTTTATAGTTCGTTGGTCCGACAGGTCGGCCGATCGGTTTTTTACGGGTATGAATCAAAACCGGTTCTTAGGATTAACATAATCAACTGGCCAATCAGCTCAAGCATCAACCGGTTGAATCTGCCAGTCGATTTAGATCGATTTCTAAAATCATGGATATCAATAATCATTATTTTAAATATATATATTTTTTTAAAAAAATATAATTCTTGTTGCGTCTTGGAGTATTCGCGACGGTAGAGAAATATAAAGTTTAACGTCTTAGCATTGTACGAAAATCCAGCACGCAATCAGATAAGAGATAGGTGTGTAGCATTTATGAGACACCAAGTTTTTTACGTGGAAATTTCCTGAAAAAGGGGGAAAAAACACGGGGCCTAGCCCAGTTTAAATGAATCCACTAGCATTACAGTTGATTACAAATGAGGCCCTTCTTTGGGGGAAGGCCTTAGCTTGATGTACATCTTATACAATACATTACATGATAATAATACAAAGAATCACTGCTTATGTATTTGTTTAGTCTGAAGGACTGTAGTCGGCAGGTGATGTAAGTCGGAAGGACCGTAGTCGGCGGGCGACGGAGGTCAGAAAGACTGTAGTCAGATAGAAGTCCAATAATGAAAAGAAATCCATCTTCGGATAGATATCCAGCGAAAGTTTGACAACCGGTAGAAGTCCGGCGTCGGGTAGAAACTTAGCGACGAGCGGAGGTCCGACGTTAGTAGGAGGACAAGGAAGACTCCGGCGTCACTTGGAGTTCGGGTGGAACTCCAGCGTCACTTAGAGGTCAGGCGGAATTTGAGCTTCACTTGGAGGTCGAGCGGACGTCACTTGGATTTCGGGTGAAACTCTTGCAATACTCGGGCGTCGGGCAGAATTCTG